CAGTGGTCTCAGCAGCAGAGGGAAAGGTGGCAAGCGGTGGGCTGGGACCATTCGCAGCTGCCCACAGCCACTGGCAGAAAAAGCCAGTGGCGGCTTCCCGGGCAGCCAATTTTGGGGGCTTACATGTCCCCGTCCCCACCCCCCCCACACACACACACACACCCTCTCATGAGTCGCCTATGCCTCCCAGTTACTGAGCAAGTGCTCGAACCACTAAACCCTGTAATGTGTATTCTCACCAGGGTGCTACAAGATTCTTTTAAGGTTGTTAGGACCATTAGAGGCGCAAACGCCTACACAATTCACAAGATAAACCCAGAGAGTTCAAATGGGAATTCATAGTGTCAAAAACTTTCTGACTTGTCATAGTTTTTCTGAGTTTTTTACAACAGAAGAATTGCTCTATTTTAAGTGAAAGCTAAGAGCTGGCATTATTCAAGGGAGGCCTTGGGTCTAACAAGGGTACTTAGGTCTAAAAAGGTTGAGAACTACTGTCCAGTAAATTAAAATTTGTCACGGTGCGGGGTCATGCAGGATGGCCGTGATCTCCCCAAGGCCCCCTTACCATGCCAAGTTGGCCCAAAGGGCACCCTCGATTCTCACCTGCCACGTCTTTGCTGGAAAATATATGATAGAGAGGCTGCCTTTACATCATCTTGGACACGGTTTTGCTGTACTTTGACCCCGTGGGCTCCTGAACCTCTTGTGGGTCCCATTCTACAATGGGTGATTCGGGGCACCCTAGCCTTATGGGCTATGCGTGGCTCCAACTACCCCTTTACCATGCCCCAAGCCTCGCAGATGGTACTGACATTGTTTGGTCTGGGCCTTGTTATAATTTAGCCCCCTTGTCCTTCCTGGGCTCTCTGAAGCCCTGTCTCGCACTGCGCCTTCCTGACGCCAGGGTAGGTGCACCCCCTAATGCTGTGCCCTCTCTGGTGCCAGGGTCCCCATGCTGCTGTGGGTCCCCTATGAGGCCTCCTCCTTCCCCTAATAGCCTCACCCAAACCACCGGTCTTAAACAGCGAACAAAACACCAGCCCCTGGGCTATAACATAAATTCAAGCCGCCCGCCTATAACCTCATTCAAGCCACACCAGGGATGCTCCGTCCCTCACTAGTATCAGAGGCCTGCTGTCAGGCCTCTCCCCTTTGGTTGCTCTGGAGAGCTCCTTCCCCTTTGGCTTCTGGCAGGGAACTGCCATCCTGGCCTCAGCCCTGGGGTTTATATGTGAGCCAGGCCCTGCCCCTTCTGGTCAGCTGACCACTGGCAGGTGCGGGCCACTAGCTCACTCTGGTTGCCTGGGTAACCAGCAGCTGGGGCTCCCCACTGACTGCTAGGGCTCCTTCCCTAGCAGTTTCCCCTCTTTAAAGGAGCAGGGCACCTAAGTGCTCTGTGACAAAATTAGTAGGCAAAAAAACTCTTGAGGTGGGTAATTCAGTGCTCTCAGTGTGCAGTAAATATGTTCTATGAAAATATGGCCTCTCCAATAGTCTACATTCAAGGACACCTAGTTTGTGAATCCCTTATGGCCGGGGCTTTGACAACTGAATGTTCAATTTAACCAATATACTAGCAGTCTAAACTTGACTGAATTTTTCCCAAGAGAACTTATGGTCTACATAGACCGCATATGAAGCAATATTGAGTAAAACAAGTCAAAACCTGGGCGTGGCATAACCCTTTTCACATGTAGCTTGTCCCTGGAATTAATGTCAATTAACTCAAATTAGCTTTGAGTTCCAGGGAAAGGTGTTAGTTAACTCAGATACTTCACAGGTACTTAAAATGGGACAATGGGCTTGTATGTCTGTAAGGATCCCAAGATAAAAATCTTGTTTCTGTTTTTATCCTTAGGTGCTTTGGAACTTTCAAGTGTCTTAGTAGTTAGTCATGTCTTCTATGCATCACTCACTAGCACCTAGGGGCATCTTTACACATGCTCTGGCAGTGAGGTTCTTTAGTCAGAGTGGCTCCAAGAGTGCCCATTGTGTCTCATGTACTCAGTGTCCTGAACTTCAAACTGGTGGCAGGGGTGTTTTATCTAAAGCTCATTCGATGAGCTTTAGTTAAAGCACCCCGACGCCATTTTGAAGTGTGGGGATGCTGAATACACACGACGGGGAAGCTGCTGGAGTGTGCTAATTAAGACGCCCTAGCAGACTAGATTAACAGAGTCGCTGCAAACCTACAGGCACCCTAAGTGCCTAAGTCCTCTTTAGTATTGAACACTGTTTTGTGAACACATTGTGATCTGACAGTGAAATAATAATTATATCAAATTATATCAACAAAGGGCCTCTAATTTAGTACTCATTAAGTCAATGCAAAAAACTTCTATTGACTTCAGTAGGAATTTGATGGAGCCATTCTGGGAATCTGATTTTTTTTTTTGCCTCTTTGGCAAGTTAGCAATGAAATGTAATGGGGGCCTTATTTAATTTATTTTTAAAAGCACCCTTCCTGTTCCAGATCATTAATAATCTGAACAGTTTGTTACTTACCTACTAATTACCTGTTGAATATTTCTTTACTAATCCCTTCCCCTTCCCTCTCATTTAAACCTTCTATAAAGCATTCACAGCTGTTCAGAGCAAATATGTATCTGCCCTTCAGGAGGATAAAAATAAATTCCCATCCTAATTAAGACCAACTGCTAAACAAACAGAAATAATGCTGATCTCCATCTTTGAGATAAACTCATTCCACAGCAAAGATATACTCTGTGTTTGTACATATCAAATAAAGAGCCAGATTGGAATTTTCAAAAA